ATGTGACGGTGAAGCTGGAATTCCAAATTTTTTTCTCAGTGTTTTCTTAATTTTAAACTCTGGTATGAAAGGCATTGGCTAGTTAGCATTCCTTTGATTAATACTTTGGATTTTGTCAAAATCATTACAGACTGACGCCAGAATTCTTAAAACAATATTAAAATGAACATTAAAACCAGGCAACTTTCAGTGCAGCTCACATTCCCTCAGACTGAACAACAACAGTAAACAGTTTGCAGCAGCGACTCCCCTTGAAGGTATGGCATACTGTAACTATTAGGGGAGCCCCCACCATGGAATACATGCAGAGGGGTAACTAAGGCTGAAACCTTTGACATATCCCATCCAGGTATCGCTCTCAGCTAATGTGTTTCCCCTCTGGAGCCGAGCTGCTTCACAGTGGCAGCCAATGGGACGTCAGGTGTCAGGAAACAAACTCCAAGCAGAACACAGAGCGATGATCTCAGTCCTGCCACCTCACAGAGAACATGGACACACACACACACACACACACACACACACACACACACATGCACACGTAGGTCACAGCAGCTGTTGGACCTGGTCATGGAACTTTCCGCTCCTGTTACACACCATCATCCTGAATGCCAAACCTAAGTTAGGGCACTCCCAGTCTATAAGGACATGTCCCATGTGTGGGATGGGACATCTCCTAACAGCACCTAAAGTATCCAGAACTAGTCTGAGTTCTGCAAAATGAATTATTTTTTTTATCAAACCTGATCAAGTAAAAAAAAAAAAAAAGATAACTATTGTGTGTAGGTTGTTGCAGCCACAGAGAACACTTTGTCTCGTTTTTTGATAACCATCTTCCACAAGCTCACATCAGAGCTRTGATTGGCTTCACTGCTCTTGTGTTTCCAACACATTAATGCAGCTGAGAGGTACTTTATTGACGTCAGTTGGTTTCTGCAATATTAGAGAACAAAATAGAGAAAACTTTAAATGAGTCAGAGTTTGACCAAAGTCTATTTTTTGTATTGCTACAATATTCAACATGCTCAACGGGTTTTTTTTTTTAATGATTGCTTTGACTAACACTCAATGAACAGTACAGWAACCATGCAGCCAGTTTAACAAGCAAAACCAGTAATGATGCTGTGCCTCTTTTTATTATTAGAAGAGATCTATGTCCCTAAATCTAATATAAATTCAGCTTTAACRTCATGTGTTAGCCATGAAGCTCTACCCAGGTCACGTTGGTGATTTTAATGAGTCCTGRTGGTGCAGACAAGTTTCATGATCCAACGATGCAACATACAGTAACTCAAATATAACTGCACCAAGAAAATGTGAACATTTCACATATTTTACACATTAAAAGGACAAAGCTCAGACGATGATTCTTTGTGTTGTGTTCAGAAGTTAAGCTTGGTCAAATATAAATGATTTCTTGGGCACATTTTGTTTTGAAAGAGTATTAGAAGTTATGATATAAAGTACAGCGCGCCTGCGGTGTTACAGTACATATCTCCACTTCTGACTTAAATGGGTCTGGCGGTTTGTGCTGTTTGTGTATATTTCTGTCTGTTCTGTGCTAAATGTGTCTTTGCAACCCCCCCCCCAAACTCCCCTCCTGTGTCACATGACTGAAACCCTTCTGTTCTTGTCAGTCACTCCTCTGGATGAAACGAGAGCAGGGAAACATCAGACTGATGAGAAATGACTTCTATTCTAACCTGTACATGGGATTAAAGGATAGTTTCCTACACAACAGATACAGGATGATGTCATCAGATATGATCAGACTGTGACATTCTCTTTTCTTTTGTCTCTGTTCGTCCGTCTGTTCCGCTGATGTGTTTCAGGTTATCGCCAACACAGCTGCAACGTCAGTACTCCCGTTTTGCTTTTTTTACATTTCAGGTGCATGACGTTAACCTCTGCAGACTTACAGTTATTGTCAGTGTGCAGTGAAGTTTGATGTTAACAAAGCTGCACTTGAACCAAAAGTTTATGCTTCCTCTAATCCWGTAGTTCTTGAAGCTGGGGTTGGGACCCCACAGTGGGTCTTGAATAACCAAATGAGGGGCCTTGAGATCTTCTACCACTTATCTATAGTTGGGTTGTGGAGACAACAAGTCCAGGAAAGAAACCTAACATCCCTCTACCTGGCTAGAGAAGATATATAACCCCTGCAGCCAGGTCTGGGTCTGCCAAAAGGCTTATTCCCAGTGAGGCGTGTCCAGAGTACCTCCATAGGTGTCCCTGAACCACCCTCATCGCATTTTTAAAGGGATCCCTGATTAGTGGTAACATTAGACTTTATTTGATAAACATTTATTTTAACTGTAAAATAAAGACTGTAAAAATACTGTAGGCTGTTTAGTTT